CCCTGACGAGGCTGTGAAACATGACACTGGGGAAGGTGAAGGTTGGAAATGACCACCCAAGAGTTTATGTGGGGTTTCTTGAGTATGACATGGAAGCCAAGGCAAGTTGTGGCAGCCCTAGCTGATCTCCAGCATGGACTCCAGCCTGGAAAATGCAGGTAAAAAGTGAAGAGCAGACTTTTGGAAAGGTCTTTGTGTTCTGCTAAGCAAGAGCTGTGCAGTTAGGGTGTGCGAGGCCGGCCTGAGTGGTGGCGCTGGGCAGCAGGTGGTTTAAACAGAGCATGGCTTGCGCTGTCCGGACACCCTGCTCTTAATCCTTGGTTGTCTTCTGCCTGGGTACACAGAGACCTTGCAGGCTGTCCAGCTGGTTTCGGGGTTGCTCTCGCTCTCCTTGCCTCCTTTGCCCTCTGGTTTCTCTGATGTCCATGTGTCCCTTCCATCAGGGAATCGTAGGCGACTTTACTAGACTCGGGAAATTACTTAAATATCACTTGCTTTGGGTGGTTTTAGTGGATCGTGTTCCTGTGACTGTTTCTCTTTGTTCTATCAGACTTTGGGTTCAGTAACATCTTCACACCTGGTCAGCTGCTTAAAACCTGGTGTGGGAGCCCTCCCTACGCTGCTCCGGAGCTCTTTGAAGGAAAGGAATATGATGGGCCAAAGGTCGACATTTGGGTACGTGACGCACCTCCTTCTCTCTTCTTCTGATCTAGTTTTTGCCCCATTTGTTTGGCTTTGCTTCCTGAATGCTTAATACGCATCTCAGAGAAAGCCTCTGATGTGACAAAAAGTGTTTTTCAAAGAAATGCTTAGAAGATTTTATTCTGGCTACTCTGTCACAAGTTTCTTTTCTGGGGAGGGGCCATGGTGCCAAAAATACCAGTTGTGCAGAAGTGCCTTTTGCTTTGCTTTCCCCAAAACACGGTTCACTCTCCCCCTGACGTCACTGCCGTGACCTTTGCTTTGGCCGCAGAGCCTCGGCGTGGTGCTGTACGTGCTGGTGTGCGGCGCCCTGCCCTTCGACGGGAGCACGCTGCAGAACCTGCGCGCCAGGGTGCTCAGTGGGAAATTCCGCATTCCATTTTTCATGTCCACAGGTAAGAGGTGCACGCCCGCAGCGCTGAGCGGGCCCCGCTTGCCTCTCTCCTTGCAGATTCTTTGGAGGGCTTAAATGACAGCGTCCCAGTTGATTTGTATGCCGGCGAAGCGCTGTGCCAGGAAGCTTAGCCTCTGGGTGGTGGTTTGTGACGTAAGCTGAAATGAGTTCTGCATCTAGAATTTAGAAACTGGCATACTCTTATGTAAAATCCCAGCTTTCGTGTATGTAACTAGGCAAACTATAGCAAAACGTTACCAAATACGCCCTCTTTCAAAGTTTTGGGAAACGCAAAAACTAAAACCCAAGTAGTCATCTAGGAAGGTAGAGGCTTTTGCTTTACCTGTTTTAGACAAGACGCTTGTTACAGTGTCACGGCACATGAATTTCCAGCAGCAGAGCCCTGTCAGCGATGAACATTTGTCTCATTGATGCAAAAATGCTTCTGGATGCTTCAGTGAGAAATCTTGGCTTTGAAAAATGTGATTAAATCTCAGATGGAACCGACTTCCCTTAAGTCATAAGTAGGTTCTTAGTTCCAGGCTGTCAGATTAAGCAATAATTTTGCAGGGGCTGCATGGAGTGTCCCAGCTGAAGGCTTCGTTGCCTGCCTCCTTACTCGGGGAAGAGGTTCTTTGCCCTTCAGCCCCCAGCAGCGGGTGGTGTCCCCAGGCCAGGCAGAAGGCACGAGGTGACAGCGTGCCACCTAGGGGCTCTGGCACACAGCACAGGGCCCCAGGCTGCCTGCCTGCCTCGCCTGGCCAGACCACACGCCAGGCACTTGACAAGTGCAAGGTGCAGGAGGAGAAGCAAAAATTTGTGCGGTCTGGTGCTTTGAAAGAAAAAAGTGCTCTGGCCCTTGTGGGATGAGGCTGGCTCCAGCAGAAGCAGCGCGGCTCCCGGCG